ACAGTAGAGCATGGAGTTTTCTCAAAATTTAGCATTCCCATGAACAGTTCACTTGTGTTTTCATGTATGTGTCTTCTTCTAACAGTTGTAAATTCAGCTGGTGGTTTGCTAGCAAAACACATGTCAAAAAATACACAGAAATGATCTGACAAAGCAACATCAACTACATTAACATTTGATACATTAACCCCCTTTGTAATTAGCAGGTCAAGAGTGTGCCCCCTGCTGTGGGTGGGGCCACTCACGTGCTGAATGAAACCAAAGGTCTCAAATACAGAAGCCAGCTCCTTTGCATTTCTGTCATCAACATTATCAACATGTACATTAAAATCACCTGTAATAACTAAACTATCAAAATCTGTGCACACGAATGAAAGTAGTTCAGTAAAATGGTCAATAAAATCGCAACATGACTGTGGTGGCCTGTACAGGACAATGAAAAGAGTAGAAGATTGCTTTTGTTCCATTTTAAAAGAAATATACTCAAACGATGAAAAATTTCCAAGGGGCATTCTATGGGAGACAAAGTGCTCTCTAAAAACTGCAGCTATGCCTCCCCCCCTTTTGTTTTCTCGTATTTCGGATTCGAATTTAAAATTGGGTGGTGTTGCTTCTATTAGAACTGCATTTCCTGTATTTTGGTCCAGCCATGTTTCAGCCATAAGCATAAAATCAAGATCATAAGAAGTGATAAAATTATTAAAGAAGCTATACCCGATTTTTTTTCTAAGTAGTTCATAAAAATGCTTTTTACTACATACAAGTTGTATCATAATACATCATTCAATTGAAAACTTGAGGTAATTGATTCAGCTGTGTAAGAATTACAAGCAGTGAAAAGTGCTGAGTAGAGTCTGAGCGGGCCGCTCTTTCTCCTCCGCTCACAGAACGAGCAGCGAACAGCCAGCGTCCTCTAGCCCCTACAGCGCTGGACTTCAAAATTCGAATATAATTCTAAAATAAAAAATGATGAAAAAAATTATTGAATAAAAAAATTTGAACAAATATTAGACAACCCTTGTAATTCGAAATGTATTGAATGACTGCAAATAAAATAGTTAGCTCCCAAAGGTTTCACCGAGACGTGCTAGGCAGGTAACAGCTAAGCTAGCTAGTTGTTTCATGGTAACTTCCGGGTTTTTCGCAATCGCTTTTTGTCACATTGAAACAGTATTTTTGTCATGAAAACGTTAACAGCAAATTCTGAAATCATCCGTGCATGTGTGTTAAGGATGTATATGTGTACTGTATTGTCCGATTGACGTTTAATGGTGTTGATTTATAGATATGTAGTTGTTTATTGAGCGTGGCTAGCTCCGCTAGCTTCTCTACACAGACGAGTGTGTAGTGACAGGTGCTGATAGCGTTTTGTACTTGCAGAGTAATGGCAGTATTTTACACACCTGAATTACAAACAGGTTGCATTGGGGCTTCGGTCATTATTGGTTTGAGAGTTCTGTTATCAAGAAAAATGATCGGAAGAATTGCTGCTGCTGCTTTGAGTAGCTCTATAACAAATTATAATTAAATATTAGAATATATTCTAAGGTTTTAAATCAATACATTCGGGACGCGAAACTAGCGGTATTCTTTTACTTATATATTGTGTTAGCACTTAGCAGTGCGTTGCTTTAGTGCCATTTCATCAGTGATTGTTGCACAGCTTACAAGAAGTTGCGCTAATGCTAATGTTAGCATATGTATCAGATCGCAAATAAAACTAGGTGGCTCTGTGTTATGAGAAATGAGAAGCCATTGAGCCAGTTGGGGGGCGGTGCTAAACATTCAAACATTGCAGAAACGGGTATAGCGCCTTTAATTAAAAATGATTTGTTACATAGAGATCTGACATTAAGCATAGCAAGTTTAAAAATAACGTCAGAGTCGATTAATGTGGTTGATTGATTTCTACAGGGAACAGAAATTAGATTTGCAGAGTTGGACCGTCTAACTGCTGTCCTGTTTTGATTTCGTTTTTTAGAATTTAAAAACATTTTTGAGCTGGTGCGAGGAACACACACAGTCTCAATTGGCCTAAAATGTGAAAACCCTTGTTGTTGTTCTTTAGCTCCCAGAGTCAGAAGGGAGTCAGCACAGTTCAGTGTTTGGACTGGTAATGCACTGCCAGACGGACAGGGAGCAGTGTTTGCACCGTTGTACTCACCCGGTGCTGGTGAGCAGGAGGCGGGGGAGTGCGGTGGGGTCCGAGGGGGCTCAGATGTAAACAGTCACGCCCCCCTCGGGGAACGCTGAACAACATAACGTATGTAATCCATCAACAGGCTGCTACCGTATCTGTTTGGGTGTAATCCGTCTGGACGATAGGCTTCGTTACGTTTCCAGAAAAGGGCAAAGTTATTCACAAAGACAAAGTTAAAAGAGCTGCATGTAGCCTGGAGCCACATATGCAGCGCCACAACACGACTGTAGAGGCAGTCGCCTCTGCTTACAGTCGGGATTGGACCAGAAATAAAAACAGATAGTCCGGAGGATTGAAGGAGGTGGAACAGATCCATAAAATGTTTCTTCGTGACTTCTGACTGCTGAAGTTTCATGTCGTTAATTCCCACATGCACGACTACCTTGGAAACGGTATCAGGCAGGGACTGAAGCAGAGGAGGGAGACGTATGAGCAGGTCTGGTACAGTAGCTCCGGGAATACAGCGAGTGACCGCGTTAAAGAAGCGGACGTGTCTCACGATGGAATCTCCAATAATCAGAGTGGTCGGGGCGAAGAGTGGCATCGGAGAAGGAGCTCGGTGGACGGAACCAGCGGGTTCACCCGAAGCAGGACCCGAGCCTGAGCGCCGCTGAACACATGGAGAGGAGGAGCGGGGGTGCTGACTCTCAGCTACAGGCGACCCACGCTGTGTGCTCGGGGACGCTGGAGCGGTGAGAGGGGCTGGCTCTGGGCGCTGCTGCTGACCCGGTGGAGGTGAGCGGTGGTGATGATGGCTAGCTACCCCAGTCTGAGGCTGCTGCACTGGGGTCAACATGGCTGGTGGACCGCTCTTTCGCCTGAGGACTGCTTCCTTTAGGAGCGTTTTCCTCGCAGTAGACTTGGATCCTCGAGCAGTAGAGTACGCTGCAGTGTCCAGGGATTCTGCTGAGGGGGCCGGGATGTCGGTGGAGAGGGCTGCATAGCGGTTTGCCAGACTCAGGACATGGGCCACGGCGCAGGATGGCTCCTCGGAATCCGCGGGCTCGTTGTTCGGAACCGGGCGCTTAGGTGTAGAACAGGAGGGTCCGGAGCTGACGGATCTCTCCCACACGACAGTGTCACAATATGCAGCGCTCAGTGACATCAGCCGTGAATGCTGCCCACCAGCGACTTCAAAAAGTTTGGACACTAGAGATTGTTTCTCATTCAACTCTGCGGTGAGACGAAGGACTTCTTTTCGTAGATCTGCAATGGTGGCACGGTCGCTCTCACGGAGCTCCAAGGTGAGGCGACTAATATTGTGCATGTTTGAGCCAATTTCATTGTCACTTTCCATGTCCTCGTTAGCTTGTGTTAGCCTCTGTGCTACTAGTGGGTTTCAGTCGGGACTAAGTGCTATTTGCTGAAACCACTGAATTAAAAAGATAAAACACTCAGATATATTAAAAAACTGAACAATAAAAACGCGCTAAAAAGTTGTTAAAAGTTTACTAAAAAGGTGCACAGAGCAGCCCTGCAGTCCTGCATACGCAGACCTCAAAAACGTCTTTACAGGATGGACCAAAAGTTGGCTCTTGGCCCAAAGCTCCGTTCCACATGTGTGTCAATGCTGAGGGGGGTGAATTTTTTTGGTCCACTTAGTTTAGTTTAGTTTATCCATAAATGCTAATCAAAATAACTTGAATTAAATAAATATTTTACTTTTATGAACAAAAAGCTGCAGAAGTTGAAAAAATAGACTACATGTGATGCAATCATTGATAAAAATGCTAATTAAACCGTTAATAGGTGTTAGCATTTTTGAATATTACAAGTACATTGTGGTAAATAAATCTAAGGCAACCAAAAGTGAGACTGGCATAATGTAAAAACAATATTAGCCTTGTTAGCATGTTTTATGATATCAAGTAGAGTTAGCTAACTTGCCCAACACTAATTAGCTTGAATCTCACAAATAAGGCTAAAAGGTTAAAAGAGTTGCACACTATTATGTACAAAACGGATGAAAATATGTTTATACCTTGTTCAGATGACAGTGAAACCTCCTACAGATTCAGCCCAGACTGGCTGCTGCTGCTGTGAGATGCCCTTCTCCTACGTCATCGCCGCCATTTTGCCCCCCCCCCCTAGCGTTTCTATGCGGAAGTGAAAAGGTGCCACTTCAAAGCAGTTTTTTTAACATAATTCATCTGAACATGTCAAAATGAACACCCGAAATATTATAAACACATATTGTAGTTATATATTCTGGATAGCAGCATATTAAATTCTAGTACTACTTTAAGAATTGGTGACCAGGGACAGAGGGGCTCTGCTGTGGGATGGTTTTCGGATGATATGTGATCATTCAGCATGTTTTTCCATATTGAAATTTTTATTTTTTTCCTTGATTTCCAGTTCATGAGGATGGTTTTCTTGGCGATGGTTAGCGCCACCAGGAGGATGTTTATGTTTGGTTGTGTGATGTTTAGCTGAGTGAGATCGCCTAATAAGCAAAGTGATGGGGACATTGGGATGTGGCAACCTAGAAGCATCGCCAATTCTATTTAATAGGGGAAAAATACTTCCTGTCCCACGGCCCCTTTTGGTCACGTGGTTGCAACCCAACAATTACTTAACAAATGAAGGCATTCTAGAATGTGATGACGTCATGTTAACAACGTCTATTCAGCCCAGTTTAAACATGATGTTATGAGATCTATGGACACGGTTACCATGGGATTTGCTGAAATTCTGATGTCACAGGATTCCAAGCCTTTTGGTAGGAGGCGTTATCTGGTTTCACACACGGTGTAACACACAGTGGTGTTACAGCTGTCTCCGGACAACAGCCGGGAACATGACAGGAGACCCAGGAGGCCATAACAGAGGAAGCTCAGGTTAGGGATGGACCTGAATCCTGGACAGAGGAGGCTCAGGTCAGGGATGGACCTGAATCCTGGACAGGGGAGGCCCAGGTCAAAGCCCAGTCTTCCCTGAACCTCATTTCCATCATCTCCTCAGACACGGAGCCTCTGGTGCGTTCATGGTGGAACAGAGCAGACACTGCAGACCTGTCAGACCCTCAGTCCCTGAAACATCTGGCAGAAGGTTGTTTGGAGATGATCGCCACTGTCTCAGAGCAGATTCTCAACACTAACTACATATGTGTTAGCCGGGAGTGAGCGCCCTCTGCCGCTGTCAGAAGAAGCTGTGAGCAGAGCCATGCTGCGGACCCTGAAGGAGAGCTTTACAGCTGCACTCAGCACACACACACAAATCCATCCATGGACCAGCTGCTCACACTGCTGACTGATGAAGTGACCAACAATGTGAACTCTGCTCTGGGCACCAGCACAGTGCAGGACAGGGGTCTGCTGGTTTCTGAGGACAGAACATATAAGACACCCAAGGACAAACTCATAGCTATGGTTCGTCACACCAAAACAATGATCTGTCAAGGAGAAAACAGACTGTTGTTTCATCCCTCAACACACCATTTCACAAACCAGGGGTCAAGACCAGACTGGGACCAGCAAACAATGCTCTGTCAAAGAGCAGCTGAGGAAGATATGCGTCCCCTGTGGCCCTCGCGTGCAAGATGCAGAAGAAGAGGTTTTAGCGTCCTCTGAAACGCCCTCATCCAGAACACAAGAACATCACGTGTTAAATGCTAGAAAGACTGTGTTATGTTTGGGCACCTTTTCCCCCCTTTGGTTTTAGGTCTTATCTTTTTTTGTCCAGGTATTTTTGGGTTTTATAGTTTTTTTGTAAGATTGTTTTGTGTATAAGTATATTTTATAGGTTGCCTTTTTGATAAGGTTTTTGTAACTTATTTTGTATATTTTGCAGCTCAGGTCGGGAGTATAAGAAGCGCTGTCCTGGTGCACTCCCGCCCCTCTCTGCTCTTAGCCTTTCCTGCTGAGGTGAGCGTGCACGCGCTGCGCGCTCCCTCTTGGTCCAGGTCTGCGGCCTCCCCTGACGCCGCATGGTTTGCTTGTTTCTTTAGCCATTTGGTTAGCATTTTTCCTTGTCCTTATTTTTATTTGATCTGGTGGGTCCGGTGGTTACATTTTCGTTTGAGGGTGTAGCTAGTTAGGTTTTGTTTATACTTTAGTTAGGGTGCCGGCATCCGATCCGGACGGCCCTGTATAGGGTTGGTTCGGTGTCGGCCCATTTTGTTTGTTTTGGCTGGCCCACCAGGTCCACCTTTAATTTGATTACTTTGGGTTTTTGTATTCTGGACACGGGGTTGGGTTGATTTAATATTCATATTAAATAATAATAAAGAAACTAGAGTTCAGTTAAAAGAACATGTACAAATAAAATCTTTTTTTTTTTTAATCTAAACCTGTCTCTGTGTCCTTAAAATATGTTTTGTCCTTCGGGTCGTAACAGACTGTCAGAACGTTTCTCGTCTCCCACAGGTCAGAGAGAGTCTCTTACAAACGGCCTCTTGGAGTCCAACCAGGACCAGCTCAATGATGACCGAACTTTTCTGCCTGGACAAGATATCTTTCTTGTGAGATCTCCATCCACACTCCAGAAAGATGTCCAAGAAATCCTCGAGAAGGAAGCCCAAGAGCTGAGTGGAGATAGCAGCAGCCTGATCCATGACAGTGAAAAATCCGCAGCCTCTATCGTCCGCACCATCTCAGACGAAAGGGCTTCAGAAGAATCAGTGGATCCAACACCAGTGCCAGGACACTCTGGCACCAAGCTGCTCTGGTTACACAAAGTGACACAGGAGCTTAAGTCCTTCTTTCTCATGTGCTTTTCAAAAGCAGCCATCTGCAGATGCCTGAGGAGGCTATACTGCTTGTGTGGTCACTCTCCGCCTTCGAGCAGCGAGGTTCAGAATTTGACAAATGAAGCGCTCAGATTTCTGATGCAAGAACCCTCAAACCAGGACGTCTATGAAAGCACAATCTCTGGGCTGAACGACGCCATGGCCATGGGCGATGGGCTCAGTGAGGAGAGCTGGTCGAGTTGGGAGCTGTCTGAGTCCCTCACCAGACCCCTGCAGCCTTGGATACAAAACCTGGAATTCAGAAGAGCTGCCCATGAATAAGTGAGGTGATAACTATAACTGGCTTCAGCGTCAATTCCACACCTTGGCCATCGACTACCCCGTCCTGAGGGCTTTGAGGAAGATTTGCAAACTGGTCATCAGAACCCATTCTCAACCCACCGTTTCCACTGAAGAAGAGTCACTGTCCTCTGTAAATGTAGAACCAGCCAAAAGTTCCAGATCGGAAGAGTTTGACAGTTCAGCAGCGGTCGACATGAGGCTCAGCACACAGTGGAATGAAGACGACTGCAACGGTCTGGTTTTTGAAGTGGTGAAGAGGATTTTCCAAAATAAAGATCCTCCAGAGAGAATCACACTGGCGCAATGTCTGTTCGACGAGCTCAACGCTGAAATCCAGAACTGGGACGTCCAAGTCCAGCCCTGTCGACAGACTTTTAAGAACACAGCAAAATGTGTTTATCTGGTTCGTGGGAAAGAGAAGGATGTGACCCAGACTGTGTGCATCGTACCCGGATACATCGGCACCATCTTGAACAGCATTCACCAGCACCTGACTGAGCCTCAACAGAAGAGGTCAATGTGGAAAGCCCTCTGCTGTTGGAGATAAGCGTGGACCAGTGTCTTGAAGTGTGATCCGGCACGAGTGGCATTTTATGTATATATTTATTTTTTATCATTGTGTGCTGTTTGTTTTTATTTTTGGTTTTATCTTTGCAGTGTATTTGTTTTTATTATATTACTTGCCACCACCCACTCATGTCACATGACCCATCCACACGACTGAGTCCCATCACTGTGCAATTGGACGCACCTGTTGGCGCGTGAGGAGGAATAAGACAGAGGAGCAACGCAACAAAAGGAGAAGCGGGTCAGAGAGGTGACGGACGGAGTGGGCAGAGGTCGGATCGCGGTCGTGGGCCCGAGGAAGGTGCAGCCATGAGGGGGAGACGCCACATGCACCGGGGACGACGCGCACGCTGGAACCGCAAGTGCTACGAAGCGACATACACGCAGAGGCAGAGGAGGACTCTGCCTTCCGTGTGAGTACCCTAGGGGCCCGTAGTAGTACTTGTCGGAAGAGCTAACTGAAGAAACAGTGTTGTGAGCATTTGACTGCCGTTAGTTGTCTCCGCGTAGGTGTTCCAGCGTGCAGAGGATGAGAGCCAGCCGGGAGGGATCGAGACTGTGTGAAGGAGTGTTGTGACGCGGACTACACGCAGGGGCAGAGGAAACTCTGCCTTGTGTGTAAGTATTGTAGCGACACTCCACCCTCGTAGCCTCTGGCCCTGTAGTCTCGGACCCCTGTGCTGGTGTTTTGTCTTGTGTTCCCAGGTGACCCGGTGCGTGTGGATGGACCGCTCCCCAGGACAGCATGACCGCTCCCAGGACAGCCCGTATAGTACGTGCAGTCTTGGACTCTCGTTTTTAAGTATTTTAACCGCCTTGGTTTTATGGACTTTTATCTTTAGTGTTTTTTGACGTGCACAATTTTTATCATCTTATTTTTGTAATAAATCCTTTCATTTGCAATTATACTGTCTTCCTTGGTAAACAGTGTGTGCTCTCACCCGGTCATCTCTTATTTACAATAGCTCCCCCTGTTTCACGCACTACTTCTCACCATATCAATAGCCCCACCATTACAGACATATATTAGCTTAAGTCACTTAAGCTAATTATATATGTATATATGTGTGTGTATATATATATATACAACAACAAAAAATCTCACCTTTCGCCCTCTGCAGGCGGTTATCCCTCTCTAAGCTCGTTAGATATATATACATTTTATATATATATACATATATAAAACACGAAACGAAAAGCTTGAGAAATACCAAGGGCTCAGAGAGGAGCTGGAGAGGGCCTGGAGGGTAAAGGTGACAGTAGTGCCCGTGGTGATCGGTGCACTCGGGGCAGTGCCCCCGAAGTTAGAAGAGTGGTTACAGCGGATCCCTGGAACAACCTCGGACATCTCGGCCCAGAAATGTGCAGTGCTAGGAACAGCAAAGATACTGTGCAGAACCCTCAAGCTCTCAGGCCTCTGGTAGAGGACCCGAGATTAGAGAGGCGCCCACGCCTATATATATATATATATAACACTCACCTTTTCCTACACCCGTGAGGAACTTATGAACATCCGACCCACCGTTCCCATGGACCTATTGCCTGTTTTCTTGGCATCTGCCGCTGATTTAGTTCATGTTCTAGCCAAAAAAGTGTGGGCCCGTAAAAGGGGAAAGCGCGGAGGCCTGCTCGTGCGTCTTAGGAGGAGAGGAGCGCGCACGGCTCTCCCTGGCATTTTTCTCTCCAACGTACGCTCACTGGGCAATAAGATGGACGAACTCAGCCTGCTCATGAGAAGAAACAAGGACTTCGCCACATCCTGTGTCCTCTGCTTCACTGAGACCTGGCTAAATGAGCGGATCCCGGACTGCGCTCTGGAGCTGCAGGGCTTTGGGCTGTTCCGCGCGGATCGCCATTGTGCGCTCTCAGGGAAGAGCAGAGGCGGAGGGCTGTGTTTCTACGTCAATACAAACTGGTGTAACGATGTGACAGTGATCTCCAAGCACTGCTCTCCTGCTCTGGAATATCTTTTCATTCATTGTAAACCATAGTACTCCCCGCGCGAAATTGTTTCATTCATTCTTGCCTCTGCTTACATACCGCCATGCGCGGACGCGCGCGAGGCTCAGCGCGCACTCGCAGAGCAAGTACTGTGTATGGAACGCTTATACCCGGACTCTCTGATTATTATCCTGGGGGATTTTAATAAGGGAAACTTGAGCCAGGAATTACCCAAATACAGACAGTTTATCAAATGCCCGACCAGAGAGGAGAACACTCTGGATCACTGTTACACCACCGTGCGCGGAGCTTTTCGCGCTGTTCCCAAGCCAGCCCTCGGCTTCTCAGATCACTCCATGATACATCTGGTTCCTGCTTACAGACAGAGACTAAAGCTCTCGAAACCTGCAATGAGGAGCTCCAAAGTGTGGTCTGATGAAGCTGTGGAAGAGCTGCGCGCATGCATGGAATCTACAGACTGGGACCTTTTCAGAGCTGCCACAGATAGTTTGGATGAATATACGGACACTGTGACGTCATACATTCACTTCTGTGAGGATAGCATCATTCCAACAAGGACCAGGGTCATCTATAATAACGACAAACCCTGGTTCACTGCTAAACTCCGGCAGCTCAGGAAAGCAAAGGAGTCTGCTTTCAGGGAGGGGGACCGCAGCGGCTACAAAGCAGCTAAATATCAGTTCAGGAGAGAACTGAAAGCAGCCAAGTCCCGGCACAGAGAACGACTACAGGAGCAGTTTGGTAACAACGATACTGCTTCTGTCTGGAGGGGCCTACGGGAGATCACCAACTACAACCCTGTGCTGACGACCACAAGCTAGCTGACGATCTGAACTTATTTTTCAGTCGCTTTGATGCTGCCCCTGACACCTCTCCCTCCCCCACCCCCCACTACTCTAACGACCCACCCATCAGCCCTGCCCCCAGCCTAACAATAGCCGCTAAAGAGATTAAACAACTCTTCCTGAGGCTGCACCCCCGCAAAGCTCCTGGCCCGGACCACGTGTCTCCGGCCACTCTGAGACACTGCGCCAGTGAGCTTACTCCTGTGTTCACTGACATTTTCAACACCTCTCTGCAGTCCTGCCATCATGCTTCAAATCCTCCATCATTGTCCCCGTCCCGAAGAAGCCCAGGATCACAGGACTCAATGACTACAGACCTGTAGCACTTACGTCTGTCGTCATGAAGTCATTTGAACGCCTGGTTCTCTCAAGTCCCTCACCTCCCCCCTCCTGGACCCCCTGCAGTTCGCCTACAGAGCCAACAGATCTGTAGACGACGCCATTAACCTGGCCCTCCACCACATCCTACAGCACCTGGACTCCCCGGGGACCTACGCCAGGGTCCTGTTCGTGGACTTCAGCTCTGCCTTCAACACAATCCTGCCATCCCTGCTCCAGGACAAGCTCTCCCAGCTCAACGTGCCCGATTCCACCTGCAGGTGGATCACTGACTTCCTGACGGACAGGAAGCAGCGAGTGCGTCTGGGGAAGAATGTCTCGGACTCTCGGATTATAAATACAGGAGCCCCACAGGGCTGTGTTCTTTCTCCCCTGCTCTTCTCCCTGTACACCAACCACTGCACCTCCAGCCACGACTCCGTGAAGCTGATCAAGTTCGCGGACGACACCACCCTCATTGGACTCATCTCCAACAACGATGAGTCCGCCTACAGGAGGGAGGTGGACCGGCTGGTGTCCTGGTGCAGTGGTAACAACCTGGAGCTGAACGCCCAGACGACAGTGGAGATGATTGTGGACTTCAGGAAGAGCACTGTCCCCCCACCCCCACCCTCCGTGATGGACTCCCCCATCACCTCTGTGGAGTCCTTCCGTTTCCTGGGCACCACCATCACCCAGGACCTCAAGTGGGAGCCGACCATCAGGGCCCTCATCAAGAAGGCCCAGCAGAGGATGTACTTCCTGCGGCAGCTCAGGAAAGCCAAGCTGCCTGCACAGATGTTGGTGCAGTTCTACACGGCCATCATCGAGTCCATCCTCACCTCCTCCATCACTGTGTGGTTCGCTGGAGCCACAGTCAGGGACAAACAGAGACTACAGTGCATTGTGCGCTCTGCAGAGGAAGTGATCGGCCGCAGCCTTCCATCGCTGCAGGACCTGTACGTCGCCCGAGCTCGAGGCCGGGCTGGTCGTATCACAGCCGACCCCTCTCACCCTGCACATGGACTATTCCAACCACTCCCCTCAGGCAGGAGGCTGCGGTCCATCAGGACTAGAACCTCCCGCCACAAGAACAGTTTCTTCCCCTCTGCTGTTGGACTCTTGAACACATCTTAACCTGTCCCCCCGCCCTTTATAAAGTCACTTTACTTCACTGTACTGCTGTCACCTTACATTGTGTGCACCATGTGCACTTGTATATTGTAAATAGTAACTGTAACTCGATTTTAAATTTAAATTTATTCTTTAGAAGTGTTTTTTATTCTTATTTTTATTATCTCTTTTTGACTGTTGCACTGAGCCAAAGCAATTTCCTAGTCTGTGACCTCCTGTTACTTACGTGGCAATAAAAATGATTCTGATTCTGATTCTGATTCTGCCCTCCGCGGGCGGTTATCCCTCTCTAAGCTCTGGCCTGGGAGCTTGAGGGTTCTGTGTAGTATCTCTGTTCCTAGCACTGCACATTTCTGGGCCAAGATGTTCAAGGTTGTTCCAGGGATCCGCTGTAACCACTCCTCCAGCTTCGGGGTCACTGCCCCGAGTGCACCGATCACCACGGGCTCTACTGTCATCTTTACCCTCCAGGCCCTTTCCAGCTCCTCTCTGAGCCCTTTATTTATTTATATATATATATATATATATATATATATATATATATATATATATATATATATATATATATATATATATATATATATATATATATATAATATATATTATATACTATATACTGTATATATATATATATATACAGTAGTGCCCGTGGTGATTGGTGCACTCGGGGCAGTGACCCCGAAGCTAGATGAGTGGTTACAGCGGATCCCCGGAACAACCT